GTCTAGGGGTTACGGCGGGTTTGGGGATTGGGTGGCTGAAAAGTGTGGTGGAAGTTTAGCTCCAGGGCACGAGGGCCTGGTCCCTGAGTGACGAGAGCAAGTGGTTTCGTTCGAGATCATGATTCCGCAAGCGCTGAAATGGGCATCGCGTCGGAAAGCCCGCGACAGCTTCTTCACCTCGTCGAGGTGGAACTGGCTCGCAGAGGTGCCCTGCCAAGTTCCGAAGAGGAGGAAAGCCAGGGGCCCAGCACATCACATTGATTTTGGGTAGCTTGTCACTTGCATCACTCTTTTGGCTCGCCTGTTTTGCCCTTGTGTTGCGCCGCGGCGGCCCCTGCTTGCCCCTTCTGTGGAGGGGAACCCTCAACCGTAGAACCGTAACATAGGGGCCTCAAGAACTTCTTATACTATTCTGGGGGCTCCTTTTAGTACTGATCGTATGATGAGCACCGAAACCATGTTACAATTGCTGAGCCCCCTGTACTCAAACCCCTAACCCCTGAACCCCTAACTCCTGAACCCTAGAACCCTAAACCCGAGTTCCGATAGCCTTTAAGGACCCGGAAGATCCCCGCCAAAGCTCCAGGAGCAGAACAAACAGCAAAGTCACGAGGAAGCTTTGCAAACTAATAGAGTGCAGAATAGTAATCACTTCCCGCTAGCATTAAACCCCCCCTAACATACAAACTTTAATATTAACGGGGCGGGGTGTTTAATATATTATAGGGGAAGCGATTAGAACTGTTTGGAGAATGTAGTAGATCAGAATAGAAGATAATGTAACGTAGCTTTTTTCGTTAATGTAGAACAAAGACTACAACAGTCTCTTAACCAGTGAAGCCTATATAGAAGCCTGGGCCTATTTCTGTTAAGCTCTGCGTTCCTAAACCCCACACCCTGCAATCCCAAGACGTCACAACCAAGCCCCTTACCCCTAAAACCCAAGCCCATAAACCCCTTCAGCCCTCATCCTTCAGCAGATACAGCAACCGTAAAGAACCCACACAGAGTCGTAGAGCCCTTGTTCAGAACCTGTAGGACCCTTGTATAACCCTGATGAAACCCTAAACCCTACACCCTTAACCTTCGCGTGCAGCAGAACCTGTCTAGAACCCTTACAGAACCTGATGGAACCCTAAACCCTGATCCCGTAATTACACCCTGACCCCCTAAATCACTAAACCCCTAATCTCTTAAAGCTTAAACCCTTTGTAGAACCGTTGTAGGACCCCAACTTAATTAAAGGATCATGGGCTTAGTAAGTAGGGTTATAAGTAGGTTATAATTAGGATCACCCCACTTAGGGGACTTATAACCCCAGTTAGAACCTACTTACTAAGTCCCATGATCCTCCAAGTAGCACCTCGAAGCTTTTCTGGGAGGCCTTGCTGGTGCCTCAGTGCGCGACTCGCCTGCCAAAGCAGCGCCATACCCGGTTTAGGGTTCAGAGTTTCGTGTTTGGGGCGGGGGTTTAGGGTTTCTAAAGAGGAGCAAATGTAGCCGTGGCGCCTTATCTGAGAATGAGGAAGCACGGCCTTTAGCTTGGTTTAGTCAGGGGTTTTGTTAAACGTAGCATAGTAAGGGTCTGTTAAACTTAGTGTGGTAAGGTTCTTTTGTCGGTTTACGGAGGGTGTTTAGGTTTAACAAGAGGTCTTAATGGGGGCGCCTGAAACTTCGGGGTGCTTATAACAAGGGTCCAAGTGTTTCATCTTAGGAGCTCGTATTTTCTGAAGTTGCAGTAGGAACCCGCCAAAGTTTCAAAGACATACAGTCTATCTAGCGGATTACTGTCTTTCAGCCCGACATCGTTAGCACTCCTCTCGGTCTGTCAAGACGGATGGATGGATAGCCTGGCCTGTTGAGAGCCCCACTCACAAAACCCTTGTGGGGACCCGGTGTTCTCCCATGTGGTCAGGTCCCCAAAGTGAGCAAGGTCTGCACGAAATCGTGACTCTACACGGAGCCTGACTAATTACTAAACACAAGTCCATAGCAAGCGTCGTTACCTTTTTGTCACCATGATGTGGTATGCCCCAAATCCTCTTACAAGTACGAAGGTCTTTAGATTCTTTAGATTGCGTGTAGATCCTTCTTTTTACATATGCCGCAGGTTCAACAGGTGTCTCGGCAAGGCGGGCACGCAGGTCTGTAGGCAGAACTAAGCCCCACGCCGTCAATCACTTCCCTTCTAGCCCATAAAGCCCGACGCAGAGACCGCATGAGTACATCTGTGAATGACGGGTAACATGAATGATGGGTACAAGTAGATTTCCGAATTTCGACCCTCAACAAGCTCAACAGCTTGCAGCCTGCAACCTTGAGCTCTCGGCCCCACGCCCTAAAACCTAAAATCCCAAGCATTGAATGAAACTTTGCAGAAAGCCACAAACCCTGCATGAAAAAGCTACGCCGAGCTAGAACCGTCGAGCCGGGAAGCTGTGAGCCAATGAGCCTTGCACCCTAATGTAGGAACCTGATTAAGAAACCTTGGGCCTTTATTAGGGTTCCTAGTATTTTTGGGGTTTTAGGCCAAGGGTTTCTTAATCAGGGTCCTACAGTAAACCCTTAAAACCCCGAGCTATAAAACCCTAAACCCTGAACCCCACAAGCCCTAAACCATCAAATCCCTGAACCCTAAGCCCCTTTAGATCCCTTACAGAACCCTTTAAGGGACCCTCTTATTGAACCCCGTAGTACCCTTCAAAGGAGCTCTAAAACCGAGAGCCCAGGAGAACTTCCACTACAAGTTCCAGCCCGGTATTCCACCAGAGATCTTCGTCGAGTTGATGAACAAGCTTCTTGGAGGGTTGAGGGGTTTAGGGTTTATAGGGATTCAGGGTTTATGGGTTTAGGGTTGAGGCGTTTAGGGTTTAGGGTTTATGGGTTTAGGGTTGAGGTGGGTTTAGGGTTTAGGGGTTCAGGGTTTACGGCCCCAGATTACTTGTGTTTCATGCAGGATCCAGGGCTCATAGGGTGTTGGAAGCTAGGGTTCAGTAGGGCTCATACTCATGCGGTGTGCTGTCTGGGGTATATTTCGGGTTTGGGTTGTTGCTCGGGCTGCCACTGAAGTTGCTCGGACCAGGCTTTTTGAGCTGAGCCGCTCACCCCAGGCCCAAAAGCACAACAATCAAGCCCGAAGCTGCATCAACAAGAATCCTTGACATAGAGTACAAAAGCGTCCCGATAAAGACACCCAAGCCATAAGGCCACAAGGATGTTGGAGCCTTCAACATTCATGTGACTTCTTAAATCCCCAAGCCGCAAACTCCACTACAGGCTTCAGATTCACTGCTAAGCCGGGAAAACACTGTCAAGCCACAAATACACGAAGCGCCTGGGGCAATCTTTAAACTCAATGGAGCCCTTTAACGGAGCGCTTATCGGAAGCGGTAAGGGAACCTTTATGTGTACACGCTACCGAAACCTGTGAAGGAACCTTTCAAACAGCCCTTAAAGGAAGCTCTCGAAAGACCCCGCACTGAACACTTTAAGGGTTCCCCTAAAGGTTCCCTTAGAAGTTCCCTTAAGGGCTCCCGCAAAGGAACACTTTCCGGGTTCTTTAAATTCAGGGGAGCTTCGAGATTTCTGCTTCGCCCAACCGAGGCTTGAGAAGCTCGAGCTGCCATGTCGTGCTCTTGGTCGTCTGCTCTCTTAGGTTTAGGGTTCCTTCAAAGGGATCCATGTAGGGGTTTAGGGTTCCCTTCCTCTTCAAGGGCTTTAGGGGCTCCCAAATTCCTATAAGTGTTTCAATAGATCTCCACAGGTTTCGGGATCTCAGTATCCCCGCAGCCCCACCCCTGAGTTTTGCTTAAAACAGCGGTGAAGTACGGCTCAGACTGTGGTTTGGTTGAGTGTATATATATATATATATGATACGTGCCATATATATATATGACATATATGTGTATATAGATAGATAGATAGACAGATAGATAGCGATCCTCTGGATTTCTGGTGAGTGTTCAGGGGATTCCTCTTGAAGCGTGGTGAGTGTAGATTTGGGATGTCCTAAGAGCCAGGCAGTCTTTTTCCACGTCGGAATTCCGATCACATATATCTAGGGGTGCCTAAACTTCGCATTAGTTCAGTTGATGCACTACTGCAGTTCCTCTGGCCATGGCACCTAAAGTGGCCGGCAAGCGCAAGCGGGGGAAGCAGCCAGAGTGCGCAGAAGCAAGGCCAGTGCATTGGTGGACTGGGAAGAACTTGCAAGATCTGGTCGCTTGTTTCAAGAAGGAGCTTGCCCTTTTTCTGAAAGGTTCCTTTATCGATTCTGAGCACTGGTACCAGCGCAAGTTTCTGTATTTTCAGCGCAACTACGCTGAAGTGCCTGGACTGCTGGAAAGATGCAATGGCGTCATTGAGAGCATGAACCGCATGGTCGACGAGCACATCGACAAAGTTCTTTCAGAAGGTCCTTCATCCTCAAGAGAACTAATGGGAGAAGGCGAAGAGGATGTGTTGGGACCTTTCTTGCTGTGCGAACCAGAAGAACACAAAGGCTTTCTGAGATTATCCCGCGAAGCAAGGGTCCTCAGAAGCAGCTTCCGCGAGAGCTTTCGAACAAGGTCGAGCATGTTCTTTCCTGCTGGTGGCACCGAAATGTGCGCGCTTGGGTGGTGAATGCTGAGCGGGATTTATTTGCATCTCAGTTCTCTCGGCTGCTGTGGGGTGCTTCTGCAGACCATGTTGAGATCAAAGTTGTGGGCAGGCCTGCTCGAGCGGCAGTGCACTTCCTGTTGCCCGTTTCTGAGCCTTTGGAGACATTAGCCAACATGGCAGATGAGCACATCATCATGAAGTGGCAAGAGCGAAGTGGACGAAACGAGGAATACTATGGCTCATGGCTGCTAATTAGAGGTCATCGATGGTCACCGGGAGCAGTGTGTCCGACAACTCATCCGTGAGCTTAGGGACATCACAGTTCCCATGAATGCAGATCCAGAGAAGCTGTGCAAAATCCAGGAGCTGGAGCGGTCACTTTCCAGCTCCGTGGATGGATGCGGATGTTTAGATTTCGAAAGTTGGTTGACCTGAAGGTTCAGTGCAGCGGCATGACGGAGGACGAAGGAGACCGCATCAAAGGGAAAATGCAGGAGTTTTTACCGATCAAACGTTTTGCTTCCTGCAACGAAGAGCTGGAAGAAGGCGAGGATGAAGAGTACTTCGAAGATCCAACGTGCAGGGTGTTACCAGCGCCGGAGGATCAGCAATTGCTTGCCCACATGAACTGCCTGGAAGAAGAGCCTCAGATGACCGTCGAGCTGAGCTGGATCAAGTTGTCGGACTGCGAGCTGCGCGTGGAGGTGCTGGCACGCGTCCCTGCAGATTACAAATGCCCCTACTTAAAGGATCATGGGACTTAGTAACTAGGGTTGTAATTAGGGTAACTATACTTATAACCCCAATTAGGGTACTTATAACCTTACTTACTAAGTCCCATGACCCTCCAAGTACCACGTGGTGCGACTGAAGCCTGGCGACCGAGCCCATCACTTCGATGAGATCTCGTGGAGTAACGGCGAAGATCGAAGGGCCCAGCGCGGCTGAGAGATGATGGCAAGACAGGGGATAGCCGTGTGAGTTGCGTGGCAACTCGCAGCAGAAAGTTGGACTGATGCAGTTTATCACGCCTTCGTGCCTTTTCATCTTTCGCCTCTTCTATGCTTTCTTCGCTGTCTCACCAAGTCTGATTGAAGAGGCGTCCCACTCGCCGCACTTCTTTTGACAGTTGCAGTGCGCGGCTGTTTCGATCGGCACAGCTGCGTAGTTCGCTGCGTAATTCGAGAGATCGGATCGAGGAGCTGACGCCGGGTCCTGACAGAGGACGCACCGTCCGTGGCTGTGGGTTGACAACTAGAGGGCTAGTCAGCTGAGACGGCATGGTAGGAGCTTGTGAGTGCCGTCCTTGGAATACGGTCATGATGATAATTCGTTTATCACTGATATCAAAACATTTTATGGTGGAGTATGGTAAACCATTCTTGGCAGATATCGGTTTGAGGTTGTTGAGCCCTGGGCTTTGGGTTTTCGGTTTAGCTGTGCAGTTTGGGACTTGTGCTTCGGTGTTTGTACAGGAGGGCATTGGGGTGTGCTTCAGGGCGAAGGGTCCCCAGACTCCGGACAACAAACTCCAAGCCATCCTCTGTGCGAGTGCTTCAGGCAGCGCCGCTGACGAGGAGGTGCTGGATATCGTGCGACTGAGCTGAGTTTGTCGCCAAAATCTTAGCTTGCCACTCTCTCGCCTGAGCTTCCAAGGTCTAAGACGAACCTCAGACCATTAAAGCTACCAGCATGCGGGATAATGTGCACTTGAGGGAGCTTACTAGTTTTCTAGTTTCGCCGTCTTCCCTCAGTTCAGCCCTCGACGACCCGATCAAGTTTCTACTACTTGGAGCCCTGCTGAGAGACCTGATCAAATTTCGCTGCAGCCAGACCCCAAGCCCAGTACTCCCCATTAAAATCACCCGAAACCCGAAACCCTGTACCCTTAAACCCGAAACCCCTAAATCCTAAAATAAGCCGTCAGAACTAAATCTAACAACCTGAACCCCTGCAACCCTGAAGCCTTGAGTCCGAGTATAGGCGCCTGAATGACCAAATCTTGCCACCAAAACAAGTATTCAAGTATATTCCCTCTACCTATATACATACAGTGTATCGTCCCGACTGTAGTTAACAAAGCCCTCATATGAAATTCAGCCCGACACCGTGAGGCAATCAGTAGGTAAGGCATCGAGACTCCAAGGTACGATGTGCCCCATCAGCAGCCCAACATGCCGCCGCGCTGCCTGGCCGAACGACTCCCTAGACCCTGAACCCAAGTCATCATACCTTCTTGCTTATGGTGACCGTATGACTCATTCTGCAGTCTACCCTACCCAACACTTTTTTCACATCATAGACCCGCAGCCTTAAGTTCTGAAGTAAACCCTCATTCTAATCAGCACGGCCACCATACTTGGAGGTTCATGGCTCGTTTCAAACGGAGTTTATAATAGGTAACCATAACTACAGACCGCATTAGTGGCGTATAATCCCTACTTATAACTAACTACCCATGAACTTCCAAGTATCCCGAACCTACTCCCTCAACCCTAAACCCTTACCCCAAACCTCTTAAACCTAAACCCTCAGCCGAACCGCTTAGACTCAAACGGGAGTTCCGGACGACGAGGGAGCCTAATGGGTTTGGGGTTTAGAGTTAAGGGCTTGTGGAAGGCTCTCCAAGACCATGAATATAGATACTGTATATACATATACATATATATGGAGGTATATATATATATATATGGAGGTATATATATATATATATATAATATAGGTTTTTTTATTTCCGTGTATTTGTGATTCTTTACTTTATATATTTTCACATATCTACATACAACGGTCTTAGAAGGGACTGTCGGATTAATGAGTGATGTCAGAAAATCGCTTCCGGGCATCCCAAATCTCCCGAACTCTCCAAGCACCAAACGCTAATCCTGTACAAGCAAAACCCTAACCGGTCCTAGAATCACCGAGCCTTCAACGATTAAGGCCATATCGCAAACCTGAATCTCAAGCACTTCCTGCCACTTACACCCCGTAAAGCCCCAAACACAAGAAGCCTAAAGGCTTACACAGCTTAAACTTTAAGACCCACCAATAGGACCCCAACAGACCCCGTATATACCTATATGGAACTCTGCGATCATGGAACCAGCTTTAGGACAGGATCTTAGGCCACTTCCGGCTCTCTGAATCCCAACAGCCCGAACGTCAATAGAACTATTTTGAAGTTCTGAAGGGTTTAGGGTGATGGGGTTTAGGGATTTAGGGTTTCGGGTTCAGGGTTTAGGGGTTTAAGGGTTTGGGGTTTAGGGTTTAGGGTTCTTAGGACCGGTTAAGGAACCCTGCAAGAGTGTGAATCCTTAACTGGGACCAAGGTAGAGCCCTCGGGGAGACCCTGGGAGACCCTTAAAGGAACGAAACCCCCCTAAAGCTTAAACCCTATAAGCCCTAAAACCGAACCCGAAACCCTATAGACCCTTCGAAGACCAACCCTAAACCTTAAACCTTAAGCCATAAACTCTTCGAAGATCTAGGGCACATCCGCGTCTCCCACACGCTCTCCGAAGATGCTGAGAGCGGGCAGCGGCGTTGGGTGAACCCAGTAGCGATGGTGAAGTCCAGGCGAGAAGGAGCCTCGGCTGTGTGGCGGGTTCTAGGGTTTCGGGTTTTAGGGTTCAGGGTTTTAGGGTTTTGGGTTTGGGGTGTTAGGGTTTTACCCAAACGATGAGACAAAAACGCAAAAGCAACAACACATAGAACCGATCAACAAATAGAACAAACACGAACCATACGAGTACGAATGACAACGTAATCCTAACAGCCAAGGCAAGAGCAAATGCCTCAGCCGAGGTTCTGACAAAATTCTAATAGCTTTACGACAACACTCAGAAGCTCGAGTAATCCAAAGTCCTAAACCCTGAATTTTCTAAAACCCTGTAAACCCTTTTTACTAAACCCTAAGGCCCTAAACACCCTAAAACCCTAAACCCTAAAACCCTACACCCAAAGCCCGAAACCCTAAAACCCTAGGGCTTATGGTTGTTGTTTTTCGTATCCAAGCCTCTGTGGCCTCTCGGTGTCGGGGCTAGAACCCTGAGAGAGACCCCTTGAAGGCCGTAGAGGAAGCCGAAATTAACAAAGCCCCTGAAGCCAGCGTCGCCACAAACATTTGCTCAACTCGACACCCCAAAGTCCCAGACACTTTAAGGGAGCTTTATCGAAATCCTAAACCGGAAAACTACATAATTCTTAGAAACCTTAGAGGATTGCTTAGAGGAGCCCTTAAAGGAACCCTTCTATAGATCCCTTAAAGGAGCCCTTCTTGGAACCCTTCCATAGATCCCACAAGGGAGCCCTAAGCATCGCCCAGCACTGGATCTCTTCGCCGGCCGCTCGGTACCCACAAATGGGCCGACGTTCGATCTCCGGGTCGCGCTGAGCACGGAGGTGCGGATTTAGGGGTCCAGGGTTTAGGGTTTTCGGCCTACGTTAGGGTTAGAACTCTAAACCTGAATTAAAGAAACGCTTGTGCTTAAAGGAACAATGAGGATCCTGTACTGTTTGAACATGACCCCGAAAGCTTGTCGCTTAACGTGAGAAGGGGATCTTCGTAAGGGCAAGTCCCGTTTGCCAGCTGGTTTCAGGCTCTCCAAGCCTAAACCCAAGAGAACAGTTCCAGCTGCCCTTCAAACCAGGATTTCACTCAAACTTTGGCAGCGGCTGACAGCGTAACGCTGCCATACCTGTGCCAGTACTATGCGTGGTTGCAGTCCGGGTATTCTGACAATGCTGGTGACAAATAGCAAGCACTAGACTACACCCGACGCTGAGTTAAATGGGATCCTTATTGCAAGGACCTCTGTGTTGGACGCACTAAGCCATCCCTTCCCTATCCTTCCCTGCCCTGACCAGGCAAAGCTACGCGGCACAACGCTGCCGTCGCCAAGCAGCCACCAGGCGTTCGGGGATTTGAAGTATCACGTGGGGTTGTCAGTTGTTGGACTTGTTTAGCCCCATGTTGTCATGTACTTGTTTAGTTGCTCTGACAACGCGATCACGGCTAGATGAGTAGCGGGAGGAGGGGGAGGAGCAGGACAGGAGGAGGAGGAGGAGGAGGAGGAGGAACATGGCCACTAGTGCAGCGCAGCCGCATGGAGCTTCGGCAGTTTAGGGCTGGAGGTTCATGGTCCATGCTTCAAGGTATGTCCGGCTTCTGATGTAATTAGGCTTCTACTCTACTCTTGGCAAGCGGTGCCTGATGGGCCCCGAACCCTATTCTAACTATTAAGGCCCCTATTATAAACCCTAAACCCTAAACCCTAAACCCCTTATAGTAGACCAGCATCACCTTGTTTCCCATCTGGAGCCTCGAATTCGGAGCCCTGGAAGCCTTGAGCCCCCCCACAAGGCCGCAAGCTTTAGGCTTCAGGGTCTAGGAACCTACATTTTTAAGGATTTATGTAAAGAAATCCTAGTAAGGAACCCTAAAAAGGTAGGTCATTCAGGGTTAAGGTAGGCCTTCGGGTCTTGGAAGTCCCGAAGTCATAAAGTTCTCGTTGCAGGGTTGAGGCTTTCGGGGTTTGTTTTTGTTGCTCCCATGTTGTGGTGGTCGAATCACTGCAGTCGGTTTTAAAAGCTCCAAAGCCCAATGGATTTCGGAGTGTGGGTTTGGTTCACTTCCTGCTAGTCCTGTCGACGTACACCGCAGGTGAGCATCAAACGGGAGAAGAGGTGGGAGGGTTCGGGGATGGATGCGGGATTCGTCTCCTGGGCTTATTTGGTTTGTGCTTTGGGATAACTTTTTAATTTCCCT